AGTAGGATGTGAGATTTATCATATGACTACAAGTTACCTTTTAACCTTCATACATGTCATCCAGCCTGAGGAAATTAGTTACGTACAGAACTTTTAGAGACAGCAGAATAACACCCACTCTAACACCTACAATCCGAGGTGGAGAAATCATCCTAATTTCTTGTGGACCAACAATAATGTAAGAAATATCAGGAAAACCACCGATTTTCCAACGACAAAAAATACAAGATAGAAAGCCATCATTAGAAGACTTACTCACTTAGAACATAACAAGGACTATGACTAACTTTCAAAATCAATAGGCATCTATAAAAAAAACTTGGAACAATGGGTGGGATAGATAGCTATCGCGTTATGAGGTAGAACTCAAGGGACTTTGCCAAGCAATACAGAGACAAATCCAAAGGAACGGGTAAAGGCCGTCACTATACGAAGTGGAGTTCAATTACCTAATATTTACGTGAAAAGGCTAGCTATAGCTACAGAAAAGTACCTACCACAACGATGGACAAGTGGATTATTTTGCCAAAATCATAGAGAGAAATCAAGAAGAATCTTTAGACAGTCCACATGTTAAGACAACCACTGCTTTCAAAGCTTCCAATTATTTCCACAAGGATTACAAAAACATAGCTTGATAAGCAGCTCGCGAAATTTTTAGATGTGTTCAAAAAGCTACACATCAACATATTGTTTGTAGAAACCTTAGCCTACATCCCCAGCTATGCTAAGTTTATCAAAGATATACTGTTAAATAAAAGTAATTGAAGGATAACAAAACAGTGATAATGGCAGAAGAGTATAGTGCGGTACTCAAAACATAATTTACCACCAAAACTAAAAGACCAAGCAATTTAACTGTTCCTTGCAATATTGGTAACAACATTTAGAAGCACGCACTAACTTAATGCATTTATCTTTTATAGGAAATTAAGTTTGGGAAAAGGAAACACGGGTACACTTTCATTGTGGCTAGCTTATAGGTCAATAAAATATCTTCGTAGCATCATTGAAGACATTTTGGTGAAGGTTGGCAAGTTTATATTTCCCATGAACTTCATTATCCTGTAAATGGAAGAAGACAAGGATATTCCTCTCATATTGGGTCGTCCATCCTTATTTATCGATAGAGTGCTGATTAATGTATAGAAGGTCAGTTAAACGAAGAGGAATTGATGATCAATGTCTTCAAGGAACTAAATTTTTAGAACGAATAAGATTCATGCTTTCAAGTTGATGTTATTGAGATGCAGTGATAGAGAAATTTATATTTGATAATACTTAAGATTCGTTAGAGGCTTGTTTGGTACATTTTGAGGATTTTCCGTTGGAAAAGGAAGAAGCAGAAGAATGCACTTTATACTTGGCAGTTAACCTATCATTCTTCAAGCAGCCATGGTTAAAGCTTAGGAAGTGTCCCATCTTACAAAGCCGTTACTATCTGTTCAACAAGCTCAAGTCCTTGATCTAAAAGAGCCAACTCACTTACGTTATATTTACTTGGAGGAGCAGATTTCACTTTCACTCATCATCTCAAATTCTCTCATCAAGGACGAAGAAGATAAGGGTGAGTTACTGAGCCATTTTCAGTTTTCAATTTTGTAAAATGCGCAAAACTTTATTGGTTTGGATTTTATGAAAATGCATTTTTGAATATAATTATATAAGGGAAAATTTATAACACGTTTTGAGTGTTTATAGTAAGAAAACTCAAAAACGTTCAAAAAAACTCAAAGCAAGTAAACATAAAAAAATCAAGAAACTCTAAAGACGTTTTGCCCTCATTCACTAATAGCACCAGACGACTAATCTATCAATTCTCTCTTCTACTTTCTTACTTGCTGCCTTTACCCAACAACTTTTTGGCGACCATTCATCTCCAGCAAGCTTTCCTCCATTCCATTGAGTAGTCCGTCCTTTTTCTATCTCTCTGTCTATACCTTCAATTTTTTGGATTTTTCGAATTTTGGGTTTTGATTAATTCTTTGGCCTTGTCTTTCAATTTACTGTAATGGGCTTCTTTTATTATTATTATTGTTGTTGCTGCTAATATTGAATTTTCATGCTGTTTAGTTTTGATTTTTTTTCTTGATTTTGATTGCTATTCATGAATTTGTGTGCCATTTCCCATCTTCTAAATTTACACCACTTTCCAGAATTGAGGATTAGAATACAGAAAATATAATCCTATATTTGAATACAAACGATTTGGAATGCATTTAATAAAACTCAAGTTTTTATTGCATTTTTTTTTTTTTAAACATGGAAAGTGGTTGTTTTCCTAAATCTTTGACGTGGTTTCTTCATCAACAAATTTCTTATAAATTTGTTTTTATCTCCAAACTTGTAAATGATTTAGGATGAGTATAATATCAAAGGATTTGGTGGGTTGTAGAGAACACAAAATTAAGATGAATAATTCCGTACTCTCTTTGATTTTCTTTAGTATTTTTCCAATTGTGATCTGCTATGTAAAAATATTTCTTAATGGAAATTGGAATGTTTAAGGGGTACTCTAAAATAAAATCTTGCAGTAACAAATATTTTAATTTTGTAACGGGAAAAAAATTATTCTAAGAGTCACCAAGTTTAAAATAATATATATAATTTATACAAATTTTAAACCAAACGTTGTTGTTGTTGTTTTTTTTTTTTTTTTTTTTTTTTTTTTTCAGAAATAGTTTTTCAGAATATAAAGCGAAATATATTTTTTGAAATCTTAAAATAGACCTTCAAAATAGAAAACTAAAAACAAATTCAAAACTCAAAATTGAAATACAAACCAAATGCCACCTAAGCTTTGGAGTGTACTAAAAAGATCACAAACACCAATTGGGTAGACCATCTTTGACATAAAAGCAATCAGCCATTTTCTTTGTATGCACAAGATTCTAATGGAAGAGAAGTACAAGCCTTCAGTAGAGCATCAACACGAATTGAATCCAACAATACAGGAGGTGGTGAGAAAAGATGTTTTGAAGCTTTTGGATGTAGGAATAATATACCGTAAATTAGACAGACATTGGGTTAGTCAGTACATGTGGTGCTGAGAAAGGCAGAATTATTGTGGTTCCAAATGAAAATATCGAGGTAAGAGAATTTGTATTGACTGTCGCAAACAAAACAATGCTACTAGGAAATGTCATTTTCTCCTTCCTTTTATTGATAAAATATTGGAAAAATTCAAGAGGCACTCATGCTACTGTTTTCTGGATGGGTATATAGTGTACAATCAGATTTTGATAGTTCTAGACGATCAAGAGAAGGCCACTTTTACGTGTCCCCTTATGGCACTTTTGTGTATTGGCGGATGCCATTCAGTTTGTGCAAAACCCCAGCTACGTTCCTGCGATGTATGATGTCTATATTCTCTACATGATAGGGCACTACATTGAGGTGTTCATGAATGATTTTTCACATAGATCACCTAGGGATAGTCTTGAAGAGATTTGAAGACACCAACCTCGTGTTTAACTGAGGGAAGTATCACCTCATGGTTTAAGAAAAAATTGTGTTAAGGCATTATTATCAACTAGGGGCATTGAAGTAGATAGTGCGAAGATATAGGTGATTGAGAAACTACCTTCACCAATTTCAGTGAAAGGGATTAGAAGTTTCTTAGGCCATGCAGCAATCTATCGTTGCTTCATCGAGAACTCTGGCAAAATCATGAAGCCTGTATCGAACTTGCTAGAAAAGGATATTCCTTTTCACTTTATTGAGAAGTATTTGGTTGTTTTCAACACTCTGAAAAAAAGTTAATTTTAGCTCTAGTATTAGTTGCACCTAACTGGATTTTTCCATTTGAGATGATGTGTGATGCAAGGGAGTACACGGTGGAGACAATGTTGGGTCAACACAAGGATACGGTCTCAAACATAATTCACTATGCCAGCAAAACTCTTGTTGAGGCTCATTTGAACTACGCTACTACAAAGAAGGAGCTTTTGGCAGTGTTGTCCGCCTTTGATAAATTCAGGTCATACTTGATTAAATCAAAGGTGATTGTGTATACAGATCATTTAGCACTGCTAAATAAGAAGGATACCAAGTCGAAACTCATCAGATGGATACTTTTACTGCAAGAATTTATTTAGATATATGAAATAGAAAGGATAGTGAGAACGTAGTTGAAAAACATCTATCTTGCCCGGAAGCACAATAATATAATTCTATAGATGAAAGTGAAGTGAAGTATTTTCAGATGAGACACTTTTTCAAATTGGGACAACACCATGGAACGCAGATTATGTGAAGTATTTTGTCAATTCTGTCATCCCATCAGAATAGTCAAGTCAAGAGAAGAATAAATTTTTCAGCGACATTAGGCGTTAATTTTGGGATGATCTCTTTCTCTATAGATGGGGTCCAGATCATAATATTCGTCATTGTATACCAGAAGAAGACATAACCATCTTTTGGAGCATTGTTACTCTTCTCCATTCATGGACATTTTTGCAATGATCAAGACAACAACAAAAGTTCCACAATAAGGTTTTTATGGGCCTACTTTTTTTTGGGATGCATATGCCTTAGTGAAGAAGTATGATAAATGTTAGACTACAAGAAATATCTCAAGAAAGAATGAGATGCCCTTGAATAGCATTCTTTTTGAGGCATTGACTTTATGGGACCACCTTTCTCTTCTTATGGTCAACAATATATCCTGATAGCTAAGGATTACATGTCAAAATGGATCGAGGATGTAGCTTTACCAACAAATAATGGACGTGTGGTGACATAATTCTTCAGAAAGAGCCTTTTTTTCAAGGCACGGGACACCGAGGCCGATTATAATTGAGGGTGGAAAGCACTTTTGCAATCGTCAATTCTCATGTGTCAACTCCTTATCATCATTAGATGAGTGGGCAGTGGAGGTTTCCAATAGAGAGTTGAAAACTACTCTCGAAGTAACAGTGAATGCATCATGAACAGATTAGTCTAAGAGGATAGACGATACACTTTGAGCCTACAACATAGTATTTAATATACCTATTGGCATGTCTCCTTATAAGTTGGTTTTTGGTAAAGCGTGTCACCTTCCAGTCGTGCTTGATCACAAGGCCTATTGGGCGACATACATGCTAAACTTTGATATGAAATTAGTTGGGAAGCAAAAGATCCTTCAACTTAATGAACTTGATGAGTTTAGGTTGGGGGTATTTGAGAATGCCAAGTTATACAAAGAGTCTGAGAGATGGCACGATTGGCCCATGAAGGAAAAAGATTTTGAGGTTGGTCAGCAAGTTCTCATGCGTAATTCTCGCCTCACGCTCTTTCCACGTAAGCTAAGGGTGAGATGGTCGTGTCCTTTCGCAGTTGTGGCTGTATACCCTTATGGCAAAGTTGAGGTGGTATCTCAAGATCTCTAGAGGAGGTTCAAAGTCAATGGGAAAGAATGAAATTTTACTTGAGAGGTAACTATTCCAATGAGAAGACAATCCTCCCACTTGTGAATCCAGAATAGCCTACATGAAAAAGTCGAGCAAAAGACTTAAGCAAACACTTATTGGAAGGTAACCCTTCTGTTTTACTTATTCAACTTTAATGCATTAGAGTATGATTTTGCAAGTTTCATACATCCATAATCCATAATCCATAAACTTTGGTTAGAAAAATCATTTGTGCATTCATACAAGTTTCATAATTAATTTGTGTATTGGAGCTGATAAAAGCATATATATTTAAATTTTTTTATGAATAATGTGGTTTTGGAGTAAAAAACGAAGTTTTGGAGCCAAACTAAAAACACAAGATATATAGATCTTTCTGACACTTTTTGCATGTAAATCGGGGTTTAGGAACGGTAAACCAAGTTTTGTGGCAGAAAAATATTTTTCCCTGCTAATAGCCCACAAACATGCATGGTCCTGCAAGCATTGTGTACGGGAGGTTTGTTTAAAAGTGTGCTTGACAGCATGAAGCCATTTTGACCTTACCATGCATGAGCATTATTATAAGCCATGCACGCGCATGGGTTTAATGGTTTTGACCCTAAACCCGTTAACGTCAAACACACATACACTTAAACACGTTTTGCCTCTCCCCTTCTCCTCATTTAAACTCCCTTCAGAATTTGCAAATTCCCACAAAAAAAAAAACTTAAAATTTCTTGAAATTTTGACTTGGGTCTTCAAGTTTGAGCAAATTTTAACATCTTCCAACAAGACCTTCTTTCAAGGAATTTTAAGAAATTCAAGGTAAATTGACTCACTTTGGAAAAAAATTCAATCTTTGATATTTTGTTGATTTCTCGCTATTTGCTTGATGTTTATGCAATAGTTAGTTGGAGAATGGGATTAAGTAGTCACGGAATTATGAATTTGTGGTAGACGTTGTGGATTGAACAAGATTATATAAAGGTTTTGCAACATCATGTTTTGCATACAATGTATTAAATAAATTGTCCTAACGTAACTTTTGGTTATAACTTTTCTCCAAAATCACAATGCATTGTAGAAATAACATGATTTACATTAGAGGTTTAAGGGGAACAAAGATGTCCTACTTGTGTCCTCTCTGATTCAACATTATGACCCCTACTTCTGGTGTCTATCTTTCATATCTATTGAGTATTGTGCTACATTTGGATTATTTAGGGATATTAAATTGACACTTTGAACTAATAATTGATTTTACTCATGTTTGATAAGAATGGCACTACAATGAACTATATCCTTTCGACCTCTAAAGGAAAGAAAAAAACTACCACATCAAACACCATGAGACAAACACGTGTCGATGAGGAAACATTGAGGAGATTCTTCACATTGGAGCATAAAGTAAGGTTTGATTGCATATAGTCCAAGTGGAAAGTTTGGCTAGAAAGGTGGGTAGTACCAGGTCCGGTCCTATAGCGAGGCCCATGAGGCCTGCGCATCAGGCCCAAACCGGATGGGGGCCTCATTTTCGCCCAGTTTTTTTTTTAATGGACTTAAAGCCGAATGGAAATTATTTTTATCATTCCCTTTCCCTCCTGTTGCCATTGCTCCGCTTCCTCCGCCTACCTACGACGTCAACAGTCGACCTCCAAGTCTCCAACTGGACAAGCGGCAGTGGGGCAGCATCCAGGCAATTATTGAGCTTTCATGTAGGGTTTTATCTTTTCCCAATTGAATTAAAACCCCCAAATCCTTGAAATCAAAAAAATCCCCAAATCGATTTCTGTTGAAGCTTCACTCCAAAACCCTCAAATCCTTCGAATTTCTCGATTGGTTTCAAGAAGCCGGCTGCTCTCTCATATTCAACTTTGTCAAACACTGCAGTTGGGGGTGGTTCTAGGATTGGTTCTAGCTCTTATCCTCGGAATCAGATTACATGTTGGAGCAAGATTATTTACCAAAGATATTGACGCCCTCCACCTTATTGGCGTTGGAATCCAGGTCTGCCGATCTGCCCTGACAACTTGAACTCACCATTAGAAATCCATTTAGCTGTTTCCAAAAAAAAGAAGATAAAATGTGAACTAACTGATTCTTGTGATATCAATTTGTTGCAGCAACTTGGGTGAGCTATGAGTAATTATAAATTAAACAAATTAAAAAACTTGGCTGCTGTAATTATAAATAATAAAGTATAAACCTTTGTTATTTACATGCCAACGATGGATATATAAGACATTGGCAGCTCAACCATAAATAAAAAATTAAAAGGTAAAATAAAATCATGGACACCTTTTCCTTTAACGCCACAATTTATATACGATATATCTATAAAAATAAATAATTAAATAGTAGATAATTTCAATTGAAGACATAGACACTCCACGAACAGTAGAAGTATATATTTTCTGCAGTAGATGACTGAATTTATTTTAACTTGTTTTTGTATGATTTTAAGAATAAGCAGATTAAAAAACTGAGAGAATTGACATCTGAAGAGTTGTATATAAGTATATTGGTGCCTTTTTCATAGCATTATTCATAATAACTTGCATATTTCCAGCTCTCAATGATCATCCTAAAGTGGCGTTACCCTTTTGACAACTTGTGATAATTATAATCGTTGATTTATTTTGTGTGGGGTTTAATATCGCAATTTGTTGTAAAATGGGAACCATGTAACTATTAAAAGCATGTTTGTGTATGCTCAAACATGCTATAAATGACTTGGTACATGGACTTCTCTGTCTGTTTCAGAGTGTTTGATTTATGCTTGTAAAAAGATTTTCTCAGTGATAGGATGAAGTTTCAGGTTTCCCTCTACTTATAAGTACCAAAAAGGTCACTATAGCAACTACTAATTCGCTTCAACTCACTCATAACAGGTTGATCTAAGTGAAGATTTCCCCTTTGTGATCCTGGTGGTATAAGAAGAAGAGTAAAATATCAGTACAAAATTATTATTTTTCAAGACAAGTATAATTAAAATTCAGATCTATTTTATTTTATCAAATAACTTGAAATATATTAGAATGTTAACTAAATTACGTAATATTAATTCATATAGATCCATAGTGGAAAATGCAGTGACTATTGACTACAAACAAGACAAATACTTTAATGACCAACGTTAGTGAATTATGAGCATGTAATCGCAATGAATACATTGAATGCAAATTTCTAAATCAAGTGAATGATTTGAGGATGGCAACCTGTAATTTTATATTCGCAATAAAAATGAATGCAAATCATTAAATTATATGTTTTGCACATGTGAATGTGATAAATAAGAATAACGTTATCCATAGTCAGCGACTACCAGTAATCATTCTATTTAGTAAGTTATTATTTGATGCCCTGTGTGCATAATGTTTCTTACGTATTATGTCACCCTTTATTGCTCTAAGGATTAGGGCTCTGCCCATTTAATATTTACTGGAGCAACTTGGGTGACCTACCCGTCCACAATTTAAGTGGACTTTTGTCCACTGTTGAGGAGAGATACCAAGATATTTAAGTTGCTTCCCTCATTGGCTATCGGTTGCATGATTCTTTGTGGTTCAACTTTGTGCCTCTTGCTCTAGCATTATAAGAACATTTTGCTAGTTTTCTGAAACAAAAACTACTCGATTTTCTGAAAGAGTAGGGAGCTGGACATTAAACCATTAAAGACTTGATATTTACTCCCCTTGCATTCAATTAAGTGAATTGCTTAAGAGTCTGCTGTTTATTTTTATATATTTTTAAAATTTTTTTCCCTTTTACAGTGATTTGTAGTATCTGCTCTGTGCTATTACTTGGTCAAATAAGATTCTAGTCCCTGCCTTGGTTTCCTTGTATATGCTGCCAGCTGCTTCAACCTGTTTTCTCGACGTTGCTATCACAAATTTTCCTTGGAAGCCACATTTATTTGGGAGGTAACATACTAAAATTTCCTATGCATTTTTGCTTTTAGTGCTAATATATTCAATTTGATGATCATGTTAATATATGTAATAATGTTTGATGTGAAATTTTTGTTTCAGGATCGGGAGTTGTGAGTCTTATGACAGTGAAATTCTTGAAGGTGTAACTCCACAGTTTTCGTTGAAATTCTACTTGTCAGGTAAGCAATGGCTTGTCTTAACTTGTTATTGAAGAAATTGAAAATGTTTGAAGCCTTGTCGGCTTATATAATTGTGGCCTGGT